TTTGTGTACTAAAATGTATATAAAGGCTTTTAGTTTATCAAATTAGATTATAATAATTACAGGGTATATAATAATCACAATTTTGAATAAATTCATAAAATAAAAAAAAAGAAACAAAAATAGAAATACATATTTTTTTACTAGATATTTATGCTATTTATTATTATTAATTAAAAAAAGTAGTAAAAACTTACCTGTTATTTACCGAAATCACAAAAAATTAAATATAGATAATACAGGCACGACACTTGTTAATGACTTCTTTTCAGTTACATATTTGTCGCGTTTATATTGTAAAGCACTGCTAACTATTGTTTATAGGTACATACATATATTGCTTATATATATCTGTGATCAAAAAGTGAACCACGATTGGTTACTGATGATAACACGTTTGTCTTTTACATCTTATTCGACCCGGTGGATTTTCATTACTGATTATATTCATTCAACTGTCCCGCCATTTACTGGGTACCCAGTGCAATAATACTACACCTAGTACTCCCACTACGTATCAAAGTCAGCCAGGCTTTTATTATATACAGAAGTATCAAAAACTTTTACACTTCTATTACCATTAATTAGACTTCTGCCACCGAACGAAAGTGATAACATTTAAATATTATTGAATTGTATCATAACGTTTCCGTCAAATACGGGTTGTTGTTATGGTTTATGATTATTTATTGTTGAGAGCTTGGTTTTATTATGAAAGTACCAGAATGTTTACTATTTTATTGTTAATAAATAAATGAACTAATTACATATTGTTCTTTTGGCTAACTAGAGTATAACACCTAAAACTATTTGTAATATACTTACTGTCCTACATGTTATTGATTGATTATTAGAAGTTGTTTAGTTAGATCATTACATTATTAAAGATAGTAGTCTGCAACCCCTACATTTTTATACATTTTATGTCGTAGTTCTAATAAAAAATTATTATTAGCAATTATTCTCGGAATATAACATCTACCTAATTTACTTCTTCAAGAAATTCTGTACAAAGTTTTATAAAAAATATTAAATTCGTGGGGTTATTGAATTTGTCTTACGAAAAATAATACAGTTTCAAAATTGATTGATAAAAGCTAAAATTTTAATTATCGACAAACATTTTAATGAATAAATTTAATTGCTCTTATCACTTGGTGCGATTTTTGAATTAATTAATTAAAACTTCTGAGAAATTTATAACAGATAAATACCTAATTTATTGACACATGAAGAAGAATCACGCGATTTATGTATATATAATAGGTAAGTATATACTGGTATGAAAGGAAAGCAAAAGTTAGGGAAAGATAGAATATAAAGATAGGAGACGAAAAATTAAAAGAAGTGGCTGATTTTAGGTATCTAGGATAAGTCAGGACGGAAGGAGTAGTAGGGAAATAAAGCAGAGGATAGCGCAGGTCGAGTCACTTCTATGCTCTCTACGGTTAATTTAGAAATTCGGAAAAGATTGTTAAAGGTGTATGGGTGCGAAAAGAAAAAGTTAGAAGTGTTTGAAATATGGTGTTACAGGCGAATGATGATACCGTGGATAAAAGTTAGAAATGTAGTAGCATTAGGTATTAGTAGGCATTGTGGAAGTCACTTCTCAGGCATGAAGGGCTAGTCAGAGACATATTAGAGTAGAGATGGACCTAGATTAGATTACTGTTCACAAATAGTCAAGGATGTGGGATTTTCTAGCTTTAGGAAAATCCAAAGATTAGCTCAGGATAGAAAAAAAGTGGAAGTGCAGTCTTAGGACTGATAACCTTTTGATGATGATGATGTTGATGATGAGGTATATCAGTTGGCTTTTAGTCGAAGACTGGTCACTTATGTATTTAAAGTGCCATGCAATATTTCAACCTTTCCGGAAACTTCCTGAAAATTTCAAAAACCGAGAAAAACTGGTCCTGGAACATTCCTATGACAAATTTACAATTTTCGCATTATTTCATTTACTTGTGCTATAAGACTTTGTTTCTTGACAAATCTCATGATTCTAAGTCATCGAAAAGTACCCTACAGGTTTTTATACCCTTGTGACTGTCAAAATATGCCACACAAACGGTCGTATCTTTTGATTACGTTAACTTAGAAGTTTAATTTTTTCACAACTCTAAGAGATTGCAGACTTGAGTACATGTTTGATATTAATTTTAACTTGATATATCTCCACGCGTTCCCGAGAAAAAGGCTCTTGACACACAGACAGACAGATAACGAAATGGTTCTTTAAGGGTTCTTTTACTCTTTTGAGGGGTTATTTTTTCCTTTTGAGATACGGGGCCCTAAAAAACGCAAAGGGTACAGGAATTTTTGTGTAATTACATTGCAGAAAAACACTTTTACCAGGTAGTGAAAACAACATCCGCTTTGGATCATTGTGTTTAATTTATTTATTGTACGCATTATACAATATCGTATCATGTCTTTATTCATGTACGCTCTCTTGCCATTTCACATAGTAATTAATTTGTTATTTTGTTGTCGTTACATTATGTGATTATTAAATAAAGGAAGCATGTTTTTTGTCGAGTGTCTTAAAGGTCATTGACATGCTTAAGCTTTTTCTTCCTACTTTTTCGACGGCTTTAATTTTTTTAATCGATTATTGTTCGGACCAAGCTGATTAAGCACCTACTAGATTCTTGTCGATTGGAGATTAAGAAATATAGGAAAGAAAAAGTTTCATTTGTGTTGAAGGGACTTTTGAAACAATCCGTTTTAATTTTTACTATGTATAATACAGTAAAAGCTCTTTATTACGCTTATAAGCTTTATGCAAGGGTTTAAAAAATTTGGTGTTTTTTCTTGTTTTGAATTTTGAAATTAATCCACTCTGTTACATCTTTTATAAAAGTCGCCTCGGCACGAGTCAAAGATGCCGGACGATACATTAAGGGGATTCAGTAGTACACGCGCCGTAAAAAACATGATTATCGGTTCTACATATCATGAGTGTAATGTTTGGAACACAGGTTTGAAATTTTGTAATAATATAGATGAAGCTTTGTTCTAAAGTCTGTCGAAAGCCATTTTTTAATTTTTTAATTTCTACTGGAAATACGTGTCCTACAAGAAGCATCAACTTTAAGCACTTGTAAAAGCTTTTAATGACCATATTATTGAAAACCAAAAACGTACCGAGTTAGTGAGAACCTTTGTCTGTTACCATACGAAAAATTAGGTATTTATCTCGCAGCGTTAAATNAGCCATTTTTTAATTTTTTAATTTCTACTGGAAATACGTGTCCTACAAGAAGCATCAAGTTTAAGCACTTGTAAAATCTTTTAATGACCATATTATTGAAAACCAAAAACGTACCGAGTTAGTGTAAACCTTTGTCTGTTACCATACAAAAAATCACATATTTATCTCGTAGCGTTAAATCACAATGTTTATGATAGAAACTTAGATTTTCGGAAAAATTCACACTAGGCGCGAGCTGTCTATTGCGATCAATCTCCTTAATAAATGACACCGAATCTTTTTCTGTTTACCTATTGTTTCCGTGAATAATGAAATTTTTAGCCGCGAATACAGGAACTGGGTTGCAATTTTTGCGAATAATGAAAACGCGAATAGGGAAACCGTGAGTAAGGAACATTTACTGTACATATTAAAACACTTGGTACTGCGTTGAGCTAAAAATCTCAAAAGTTCTCGATATGGTCAAAGTTATAGATATTTTTGCAACTTCCACATAATTTTGCATTGAGTAATTGAATTAAATGTAGGCCAGCAAATAGACCAGAACTTTCAATGCATGATCTATGAGCCAACTGGGCTCAATCGCAGGTTATAGTTTATATTAATTTCTCTGATTGTTTTACCACAACTTACCAAGATACTTACTTTAACAATTATTCAAAAATAAACTGTTTATTACAGGTTATTCCGAAGTTTCACAAATATGTAGTGTTACGATGAATTTACGATTTCCGACTAAGTACCTACTAAAATTTGTAAATACAAAAAATAGTTGCTTTCGAAGAAAAAAAATTAAATTCTTTCACAACAAATAAATACAAACATAATATGTCCTACGTTTCCTAGAGTTATACATTTTCGAAGAAAATGAAAATTGTTTTTTTCCGTTTTCGTTTTTATGATCTGATAGGTACTAACTAACAGTGAAATTGTGCTAAAATAGTTTCAACTTTATATGCACACGTTTACCAAAATCAGAAGTACATACAGACATTACATTATAAAATTATTTGCTAATTATTAACCTCTACATGCACCTCCTGGTCAATACGAAGTCAAAACGAAATTAGAAAATTTAAATATCATTTTTTTATTTTGAATGTAGCTATAGGACCAATCTTTAATTAAAAATCATTAATCTTACGGATTCGAAAAAGGAACAGGTCGAGTTTAAGTTAAACGGTAATTATCTATCCAAATTTGGATGGGTTCAACTAGTATAACAGTGTGATAAATGTATGTGTTTCTTTGGATTTCATAAAGAATTAGGTGATAAGTCGATTTATTGGCTTCATACTCGGAACCGGAACATCTTATTTACTTTCTCCATTCGCTAAAGTTTTAGCAGTAAAGGTGTACATTTAAAAGTATTTGTTTAAACTATTAAGATAAATAAATGGAATACATATTTATTCACGTGTCGTATTATAGGTAATTCCAAATTCTGACAGTCATGTGACGAAGCCAAATCAAATTTCACGGCCACTTAAACTTCCTTTCTTATTTCAACCCTGTATTACTTAACATATCTACACATACCTTTGACTTTATTTAACCTAAGTAGAGGTTACACGTTACACTAGATTATAAAATCAAAGTTCTTCGCAGTTTGCAAAGCGTTTAAAAAGTACTTAATTCATGTTTATGTGCATAATAAAATTCGGTTATATAATGCAATTATTTACGTAATCCTTATTAAATTCTAATCATGTAGTCGGGATATTACTTTATATTGGTGCATATAAAATTTTTATTATTAACAAAGTTACCTATAATTCTTTTGTGCGCGTTAAGAGTAAAAGTTTAGTAATGCAACGGAAGCTGAACCACAGCAAATGCGCGCGCAACAGGAAACGGAAGTGCGCGTGAAAAGCTAACGATAATACAGCAGCGGCGTGACTGCGAAGGCGACTGAAGTTCCAACACGGAACTGATGACTCTGGTCTCGGCGATTACCATTCCAAAACCAGGTTTCACGGCCTCATAAGGGTTATGTGTGAATAATGTTCCCGTTTTCAGCTGCAAGGGTTGGTTTCAAGGAGTTAAAAGACTATCGCCCTAAACGAGCTTATATAAAGAGGCAGTGAAGGTGTTAATTGAGGTGAAAGCTTCAAAAGACACCCTCTGAGGAGGAGGGGTAGTGTCGGATTCGCCGAAGCGCCTAGCTACTAAAACCCATCCTCGAATAGGGAGATCAACCCGAAGGTTATATATCCCAGGGAAGATTCGTTGGGAAGGTTAGGAAA